AAGTAGGAAGACAATAGAGTACAAAAAACAAACAAACATAAAAATTAAGAAAAAAAATGTAAAAATTAAAAAGAATATAAAAACAACTGTAATATACTATTCAGAAATCCCAGTCCTCAGTAGCCTAATGCATGGAAAGTACTTGGTTTCCCAAATGTTGGGGATATGAGGGTGGGAAAAGAGAGAGAGAAAAAAAGATAAAGAAAAAAAAAAAAGAGAGAAAAAAAAGAAAAAAAATCTCAAAGGAAAATTAAAGGATTGTTTTGTTGGAGTTCAGTATCTTTCTTGCTTCTCTTATCATCCAGTAGGTGGGGTTGTCTGTGGTTTGCTGGTATCCCTACCTCAGGATGGTGAAGGCTATTAGGGTGGAGGGTTTGTCTTGAGGATGGAGCTGGAGGTGGGGTATAGCACTTGCTGGTCCCCCATGGGAGACTGCACCCCAAGGATCTCCTTTGGGGCCCGCTTGTGTGATGTGGGCACCTGGTCTTATCCCCTTATATTGCCTGCAGACCTCACAATCTTGGTCTCCAATTTAGTCTCTAAACTGTGTCTCACTCACCCCTCCCTCTCTCTCCAGACTCTTGTGGGCTGCGCTCTGGGGGCTGTGCACCTGCTGTGTGGAGAGCTGTTTTGTATCAGGCAGTTCAGGGCCAGGCTTTGGGAGCTACAGACTGGCCACATAGCTATAAGTGCTGTGCTGGGTTAGTGGCTGCAGGGAGAGTGGGGGGTTGGGGGCTATGGGTACCTTGATATTGCTTCTAGGCTTCAACTGGTGTCCCAAGCTGGGAGTTGCCCCAACTAAAGTCAATGATGGAGGTAGCAAGGATAACCCAAGATGGCATCAAAGGTGTCCCAAGATGGAGGTGGCTGCTTTCAGAGATGGGATGTCAGGGTCAGCCCAGCAATGGCATTGGGTGGTGTGTTTGGAGATGAAACTCAGTGGCATGTAGCATTGCTCTGTGTCACGCAGCTGTCTCCAGACCCTGTCTGGTGTCCCCAGGAGCAGGCTGCCATGTGGAAGGGACTGTGGCAGCGGTTGCAGATTCCCAAGATGGAGGCAACTAGGGGAGCCCCACGTTGGTAGTTGGGGGTCTACAAGGGAGCGGTGGCTGGGGGTCCTGCACGGACACTGATGCTGGGGGTCCTGCTCAGCATGGCTGCCAGGGTCCTGCATGGGCAAGCAGCTGGGATTCCTGCATGGGAGCAGCTGTCAGGGGTCTTCTAATAACTTGCAGAGGAATAGTATTCCCACTGCTTGAATTCTAGGCCACAGAGCGACAAGGAATGCAGCCTCCCTCTAGCCCCCCGTCTTGGATCCCCCTCTTTGGGATTTTCTATAGATAATTATATATACCACTTGTGAGCAAAGTCTGTTTTTATTTTTTAAATATTTTTTTAGTTGTTGATGGACCTTTATTTATTTATTTTTTGAAATTATTTGTCTATAGTGCTGAGAATCGAACCCAGTGCCCCATGCATGCTAGGCAAGCACGCCACCACTGAGCCACAACCCCAGCCTGCAAAGTCTGTTTTTATTTTTTTTTCCTTCTCAATATGTATATCTTTTATTTACTTTTCTTGTCTTATGGCAGTAGCTGGAATTCCTAGTGCAATGTTGAATAGGAGTGGTGAGTGAGAATATTCCAGCTTCAACTCTTCACTGGCGCCACTCTGGTGAGCCCACCATTGTTATCATCTCTACCTGTCCTGCTGTAACAACCCCATTACTGGACTTCCTACTTTAGCTTTTGTTCCTATAAAGTCCATTGTCTACGTGGTAGCCAGAATGAAAATTTAAGAAAGTAAACCGGATCATCTCATTTCCCAGATTAGGACCACTCCAATGGCTTGCTATAGCATTTAAAATAAAACTCTTCAGCCTACCCTGACGCCTAATATACTTGGGCCCCTCTATGCCTGGGTAGCATTATCTTATAGGATTCATCCTCTTGACCTCTTCATGTCAGACACACTGGCCTTCTTTCTGTCCTTAAAGTATTTCTGCCTTTGGGCTTTAGTACCAGCTGTTCCCTATGCCAGGAATGTTCTTTCTATTGATAATTGTGGTGCCAGTTCTTTTTGGTTATGCAGATCTCAGCTGAAGAGTTACTTCCTCAATGAATGCTATATTCAGTCATTCTTTATCGTGTTAATTTGTTTAAATTCTCTGCATAGCTTTTTCTGCTACCTGATATTTCTTTTCTTTTAATTGTCTAACTCTGCTTTCTGTCCCCTGTTCCAGACCTTCCACCCACCAGAATATGAGTTCCTGGGAACAGGATCCTTCCTGTCTTGGCCATTGTTACATCCCAACACAGAGTCAGTGCCTACTTTGCCTCCATTCTTCTCTTGACCCAAACACCCTTGCTCTCTCTGCTCTTCTGTCTCCTCCTTTCAGTTCTCTTGGCTCCCCACTCTTTCCTGTTCTTGAATCTTTACATATTCTGTTCTGCAACCATTTTGTCTCAGAATCTCCTATTCTTTATTTAACTCTCAGTTCAATGTCACTTATATAGAGAAATCTCCTTAAGTTTGTATCATCACCTCTTTTATGGTTATATTCATAGTTTTAATTTTATATTCATTTATAAGATTACTGGATGAACTGCCTCCCTTATTTTTCTGACAGCCCAAGAGTCAGGGCCTAGGTCTGATTGAGCTCATCTTTTGTCTCTGTACTCAGGACAGTGCCTGGTTCTTGGAAGTTGCTCATAAGTGGCTACTGGCATCACGGATTCATTAAAAAAAAAAAAATACTACACTTAACTGGTTCTAAGATGTAGGTTTAACAACATTTCTGAAATAAGGATGCATCTTGTAGTTGCTGGCATCTGAGAGTGGATTAAAAAAACAGTATAAAATTTAAACAAATATATTAGGATATTTTATCTTAGTAGTAATCAAAGAAATGCAAGTTAAAACAATAGTGGGATACTATTTATCAGGTGTCACATTGTAAATGATTTTTTTTGCAATGATTAAAAAAAAAACAACCCATAATAATACTGGCACAGATGTGAGAAAATGGGTCTTTTACATGCTATAGGTAAGAGTTTATATTGGGCCAATCTTTCTGGAGAGATTTGGCAATATGTATTCAAATCCTTAAAAATATTAATATTCTGTGGCTTTTATTTTGAAAAAATATTCTAAGGAAAAAATCTTGGATGTTTGAGAAGATTTTGCCAATATTTTCCATTATATAACGTTTTATGATAGTGAGAAATTGACTCACTAATGGTAATCCATAAAATGGAATACAATCTGGTTATAAATATGTGTATTCTTAAAGAATATTTAAGAGCTGGGGCTGTGGCTCAGTGGTAGAGTGCTTGCATAGCATGTGTGAGGCACTGGGTTCGATTCTCAGCACCACATATAAATAAATAAAATAAAGTTCCATCAACAACTAAAAAAATATTAAAAAATATTTAAGATATGGAAAAATGTTCATACTATGTTTTTAGTAGACTAAACTCCATGAGAGCAGGAGCCATGTAGATTGTACTTGATATACATTCAAAATCTTGCACAGGACTGATATTTTGTTGAATAAGAAAGTAACAACGTAGTGTATGATGTGTGGCATGAGTAGGATGATCCAAATTTTAATTCTAGAAAAGTGTGTGTGTGTGTGTCCAATCAGCCATGTATTAGTAGAGATTATCTTTGGTGCAGTTATGCGTAGTCTTTGTTATTCTTTGTAATTTTCTATATTTTCTATAATATACACATATTAATTTTACAACAAGAAAACTGTTTCCTCATCAATGTTAACTCTATTGGTGCCAAGAGAGTGAATCTGAGGGTGTGGTCACACATGGTGGAGCCAGGGTTCATGAATGAAGGTTTCTCAGAGCAAGTGAGGTGAGTGAGTTGAATACCAGAAGCAGTGATGGATAGTACCCATTCCAACCTGAGCCCTCGACAGGAATCTGGAACCAATAATCCTCCTGGGATGTGCAAACGCCCTGTGCTGGGCAGAAGCCCATCCCTCCACTCTTCCTCCAGACACCCTTGTTTGCCTGCTCTGAGCAGCTGCTTATGGCTCTGAGGTATCCCTGTCTCCTGATCCTTCCCTTTGGTTCCATTCCTGCCTCCAGCCCTTTTACTTGCATGATCACTTTGGACGAAGGTCTTGAACCTTGGTGTTCAGCTTTCTCTCTCCCTTGGCTCTGTTTTTGTTTTTTTGCCATCTGACCCAAACACCCTAGCTCCCAGCCTCCCTGCAGTGCTGAGGGTGGCAGCCTTGCTTGGAGGCTAGACTGCACACAGTAGGTGCTCAATGCATGCTTATTTTATACATGACTGTGATCCACAGAAACGTGGGCAAAGAGAAAGAGGAGAGTCCACATGTTGTGGTGGCCTCTGGTAGGGGCAAGAGAGCAGAGGAGTACGAGGGATTGTTTGTGACCAACAGTGTAGAACCAATCATTTCAAGTGCAACCAACAAGGAAATGTAGATAGGAGAACATCTGAAAAGAGAAATTCTAAAAATGACAACTTTGTAATACCATGTGCTTAATTGGATCTTTAAGCTAAAAAAATTCGATATATTTTCACTTGTGTATGAAGAATAACTTCTCTCCCTGCCTGCCTCCCTCTTTTTCTCCCTCCCTAATTTTGTTCTTTTAACATTTTCCTTCTGTTGAGGCCAGCAATTCAAGCTAGTTGCAACAGAGGGCAGAATTGTGTAACAGATAGGAGCATCATTTTCTTTTTACCTGAAAATCACTGTAAAACACAATAACAGTGCATGGATTGAGCTACATAAGCACTCTTGGCCCTTTAATTTTCAAAATTTACCAAGGTTATTTAATAGTATTTTCATTATTTTTTATGTCATAGTCTAAAGTACTTGGTAATATATGTAAACCTTAATAAAAGCAAAGTGCAGATCTCTCGAACAAGAAACTAACTCTGGCTAGTTCTTAAATGAGGATTAAGCCTCCGGTGTGGGTTACTTCCTGTGCTTTAGGGTCATTGACTTTTCATTCTAGTGCTGGAATGCAAGCTTTCTAATGTCACTGCCACTGACAAATGCCGACTGATGTTCTGCATTGGGAGTTTTTTGAAACTTATGGGCAAGATCAGAGAAGCAAAAGAGCTGTTCTTGAGTACTGAGGACATATTAATGCAGGTAAAGTACAAAAAACAGAAACCTTCAAACCTGATTCTTTTTGTGTTAGATATTTTCAGATATTTACCTTTGTTCCTTCTTAACTTAGTCTATAAACAGAGGAATTAATTAATTTGTTCATCAGTGAGGAAGCTGTGATTTTAATGCATGCCCCATACTGGACATTAATAATGATCACTAAAGAGAATAGGAGTCATTAGGGCTGGGGACATAGCTCAGTTGGTAGAGTGCTTGCCTCCCACGTACAAGGCCCTGGGTTCGATCTACAGCACCACTACCAAAAAAAAAAAAAAAAAAGAGAGAGAGATAGGGGTCATTAAAGGAGTGAATGCAGATAGGTGTCACTTGGGAGGAAAAAAAGAAGTGTTTGTAAAATTTGAAAAGTGAATTGTAGTGGTAGGTTGAAATGAATTAATAAAAAATTGGTTAAAGACTTGGCTGTAACTTTCAGGAAGGCCTGTGATACCGCTCAGCAGTAGAGCACTTGCCCAGCATGTACAAGGGCCCATGTTAGGTGATTGATTTGCTTTTTCTAAAAAATGAACTTTTGACTTTACTGAATATAATGGAAGCTTCACTCATAATTGTTACTATGTTTTAGATGACACTTAATTGCCATTTTAATAATAGTTATGAATTTCACTGTTTTCAATAGATTTTTGTAGACTAAGGGCAGAATAATCTGAAACAAAGCATTTTGTTTGAAAACAACACCTTCACAATTTCCTGAGACATTACCCCTGCCTCCATTAATATATAGACAGAAGGAATGCCATCTAGTGCGATTTATAAAACTCAAAAATGCAACACCCTTTATGGCACAGACAATGTCATTTATCAATTTTTGTATCTCCATGGTATATTATGCCCCATGGGTGCTTAATAAAACAAATGTAACAAATCAATCAATAAATCCATTTGAATGTGCAAATTCCTCTGTGTCCTTAGAAAGTAGCCCAAAGTAGTGAATAGAGCATGGGCCATTTTCAGACTGACCCAGATTTAAAACCCAGCATTGCCACCTCCTGTGCTTGTATGACCTTGGTAAGAATTCTAACCTCTGCCCCAGTGAGTTCTCATCTGGGGGTTCTAATATCTTATCTCATGGGGCTGTTAACAGGATCAAGTAAGGAAGTGCACAACACCCTTTCCACAGTATCTGGTGCACAGTGAGATATTGATTACTGGTGGCTGGTTTGTCCCTACTCCTTGGGGTTATAAAGTAACAGGCGTGGGCTGGAAGTAAGAGGGTTTGACTAATGGTCATTCAACTCTCTTCCATCATTTAGGGAGCAGCACAGCAGGGATTCTGTGCTTCCCATTATGACCATGGGATCCCCCACCCCAATTCTTTGCCCCCATGGGGAGGTGCACGTTTCCTACTGCTGACAGGTGTCTGTCTGGCACCAGTTATTTTACTAGGTAACCACTGAACACCTGTCTGCAGTTATTCCCTGTGCACGCTATGTTCATTCACTTGCTAACATTCGCTCAGGGCCTTGCCTAGCCTGAGCACTGGCAGGAGGTGGGGTGACGGCAGCGAGCAAGGCAGCTGGTTTCTGCCCTGGTGGAGCTCCTAGTCCAGCTGGACGTCGCTGCGGGCATCTGCAGCGGTTCAGCAATGAAGTCCAACTGTGGAATGGTGAAGGGTGAGGCACTTGGAGGAGGCATGCTGACAGACTTGGTTGCTTCTGAGGGCTCCTGCAGGCATCCATCTTATGATTTATTCTTAATATTTGCAACCATAAAAATAAGAACAATAATAACAATAAAAATATTTTTATTCTCAATATTTTGCAACAGTTGCTTGGGACGAGTCACCACAGAGACTATTAAAAGGAGTTCTTTAGGCTCTGAAGATAATTTCTAAAAGAGAAGTTTGTAACTATTTTGGGCAGTAACATCTTTTTTGAAATATGTGCCTGACTTTCTTGGGCTGAAAGATCCTGTTATTTGTGATGTATTCATTCTGTATTGTACTGCTTTTGTAATTTCTTTTTTTTTTAATATTTATTTTTTTAGTTTTAGGTGGACACAATACCTTTATTTTTTATTTTTATGTGGTGCTGAGGATCGAACCCAGTGTCTCATGCATTCTAGGCGCTCGCTCCACCACTGAGCCCCAGCCCCAGCTGGGGCTTCAGATAAGATAGTTTTAAATTTCAATGCAACTGGGGGCAGTTTTGTCCCCTAGGGAACATTTAGCAATGCTGAAGACACTTTTGGTTGCCACAACTTGGGGGAGAAGTGCTCCTGGCATCTGCTGGGTAGAGGGGGTATGCTGCTGCACACCCTGTAGTGCACAGGACAGCCCCACAGCACGGGGTCACCCTGCCCCAAATGCCAATGTTCGGGAGGTTGAAAAACTCTGAATTAGAAGGCTCGTTTGTTAGACAGTGGGTCTCATTTGCCTCCTCCTTAGTATTTCACAGGAGGTACACCAGGTAGCAAGAAAACCAGAGGATCCATTTGTGAACTTCTTCTGTTTCTGCATCAGAGACTTGACTTCTTAAGAAAACGTACAGAGCGGTGTTTTGGAGTCCAGCAGGCCTGGGAGGACCCCCTGCCCTCCTACTGGGTAGCCATGGGGCTGGGGCATGTGTTCCCCTCACTGAGTTCTGGTCTCCCTACCTGTAAAGAGGAGTGATAAGCGCTCCCTTCCAGGGAGGTCGTGCCCGGCGAGAGCTTGGCTCAGCCAGAGCTGCCGAGACGGTGGCACCGTCACTGGCCACCAGCACCTGTGTCCTGAACGCCCATGAAACATGGAGCCCAGGGCTTGGTCGTGGAGTCTCTGCCCTCAAGGAACAGTCTGGAGTGGGAAGAGGGGAAGAAAAGCCAAGGATTCATAACGAGGAAGCGGACACTGAGGCCACACCCAACAAGTCCAGTCCCTCGAGTGGCAGCGTGGGCACTGGGACCCGGAGGTGGGAGGACCACCGTGGCCTGGTGAGGGCCTGTGACGGGGCTTCTGCCTCCCTGTCGGACTCACTGGAAACACGTCTGTGATGTGCACAGGAATCAAAGAAACGCCCAGAATCGGAGCTTCATGGGTAGAGGGAATCTGAAGGAGCAGCGGGTGCCGGGAAGGTGACGGTCGCACCCAAGCGGAGCAGTCAGCCAGCTGAGGCCACGGAGCACTGGAATCTGGAGAGAGACAAGGCGACATCTGCAAAAGCCAAAACCACCAGAGGAAGCCAGGTCCCCAAGCAATATTGGGAACGGGTGGGGCGAACTGCTGATATTCGGAGGGAGAAAAGTAAATGAAGCTGTGAAGAAGGCAAAGATTGGGAAAGAGTCAGGATGTCCTAGTTTTCCCCAAACCAAGGAGGGAGTGGCTAACGGCATCAAATGCCCGCTAGAGGTCTGGGCAACTAAGGACGGAAAGAAGGCCCAGAGGTCTGGTGCATGGGGCCAGTGACCGCCACTGAGGAGGCAGGGCATGTGGGAGGAGCAAGAGGCAGGGCTTTAGGAGGTGGGGGTGGTAATGAAACGGAGAAGATGCACGTAGGCAGGCTTGTTTGAAAAGTTTGTTGGTGAAAGGAGAAAGTTGAAAAGTTAGGAGAATATGAGGTTCAGGTCAAGTTTGATCCAGGGTATATGTGTTTACGTGGAGCAGGAAATAAACAGGCAGATTAGAGATGCTGGCAGAGACTCTGTGAGAGGGCTGGAGGGAAGGACACAGAACTCAGGGACAGGGCAGGTCCTTGGGAAGGGAGTTGGGCTCCGCTTCCTCTGAAATAGGTGTGAGGGAAGAAATTGAGTTAAAACTCTGCTAATTAAAAATTTAAAAGAAAGGTAAAAGAGGTATAGAAAAGAGACTATAATTCCCCAATATTGTTCTGACATTTATTAAAGTAATGTGCCCTCTCAGAAAATGGCTGTGTAGAAGAAAACTGCATTTCCCAGGTTTCCTTAGGAACCAACGTTTTGGCCAATGAGATGTAAATGGAAGTTTCGGGAAGTGAAGGTGTTCCTGGTTCTGCCCTGTCTTAGCTGGACGGCTCTAACAAAGAATCTGAAGTCTGGTGGCTTAAACAAAGGCTTGTTTCTCTTGGTTCTGGAGGCTGGTGGACCCAAGATCAAGGTGCCAGCAGAGTTGGTGTCTGCATCCTGGTCCAGGCACAGCCATCTTTTGCTGTGTCTGGATAGAGGAAAGGAATGAGAGAGATCCCTGGGGCCTCTTTTACAAGGGCACTAATCCCATTTGTGAGGGCTCCACCCTCATGACCTGATCACTTCACAAATATCCCACCTCCTAACTCCATCACATTGAGAATTAGGGTTTCAACATATGAATTTAGAAGGGACACATTCAGTTTTTAATAACTTTCCTTCTTTCTGCTGATTGAATTGTGAATATGATTTGAAGTCAGAGCAGCCATTGTACATCAGGTGGTATCCTTGAGAATGGAAGTCAGGCAAGGGCACAGGATGAGATAAAAATAGCTAGACTCTGACTTTGTAGAATGTGTGCAGCCCTGGGCCACCTAGATCCTGACTCTTGTATAAGAGAAATTAAGCTATTGTTAATTTGGGGTTCTTTGTTATTCATAGTCATCCTAATCTTACCCAATATTTGAAGTCAGTCTCTTAGCAATATTTGAGCTCAGAAAAGTCAGAATGGAGGACACCTTTGAAGTGGAGGATTGGAAGGATGAGCAGCAAAGATAAGGTCTAGAATAGATGCTGAGAATTCTAAATATATTCCCAAGGGGTGTGCAAAAGAACCACAGGCACATACCACACCAGACTCCTATATCACACCAGACTCCTATACCAAACCAGACTCCTTCCAAATCCAGGGAAATCAGTATCTCAGAGCACATGTAAACTATTTTCAAGACAACTGTCCAAAAGCTTTGTTTCAAAAGATCAGTTAAGGGCTAGGATTGTGGGTCAGAGGAAGAGTACCCACCTAGCATTGCCTGAGGCACTGAGTTTGATCCTCAGCACCACATAAAAATAAAATAAAGGTATTATATCCACCTATAACTAAAAAAAAAATCTAAAACAAAGGTCATTTAACACAGAGGGGCACTTTTAATATGTGCAGGAGAATAGAAACACTTATTCTTTCAACTTATAGCAGGGAGCCCAGCTCAGTCAATACTCTCCTAGGCTAACATTGTGGTACAATGTAAAGTATTAAGTGGCCAACAACATTGCAATGCCATCCATTCTACGGTGCTTTATTAGTTACTGGACACTTCCTGTATAATCTTATTATATTATCCTGTATAATGCATTTTTGAAAACTTATTATTAACAGTAAAATAACTCATCACTAACTCTAATTTCTTAGATTGGACATTTAAAAAAAAACTTTAGCCAACTAGTATATTCTTATGCATTGATAAGGTGTTGGTTGAGAAGTGATTTAAGTTAATGAAGTTGAATACCCTGAAATAAATATTCTAGACCAGTAAGGAGAATTTAATACAAGTTTCTTAAAAAACATGTCAGACATAAAGTCACCAGCTCCCTGGTGGTGTTTGTATTCAAGCAACATTCTAGATATTCATTAGAATCTTGATACTACCTTCCTTGGAACACTTATTATGTGTGAGACATTGTCAGGTTATTCCTCAAAAATTTTATTACTACTAACTGCCAAAGAATGTTTACTGAACCTATGAGATCAATTATCCAAAATGCATTTTTAATTTGCATTGTCTCCCAATAAATATTTTATAAATGCCTAAAATTCCCTGAGAAATGATATAATACAGGTTTTTATGACATGAGCCTTTCCTGGGCAGGTGTCCAGCTGCGGTATCTGTCCAACTCCTTCAGGAGTTGTTGGTTCCCTTTCTCCTTTTGTACAGAGCCAGTCCACAAAAGAAATGCTTCTCAAAGCTCAGAATGCCATTGGAGAACTGTATGTTGAAATCGGGAACACCCAGGAAGGGTTCAAGTATTTCCAGAAGGCGTGGTCAAACCTGCAGTGCTTGCCACTCAGTGACTTAAAAGACAACTGGAACTTGATGAAGCAGAAAGGTATGTAGACACCTACAGAGGGAATTACCCCTGTATTCTAGAGTTCAATTCCTCCCAGGCCACTCCCATCCATAGAAAAAGGGAAATGGATCATGGACTTTATTGGCTTATTTTTTTGAAAGGCTTCCAAGTACATGAGGTTTGAACATGAAGTGCTCCCTTTCCTTTTTTGTGGGGGTGGTCACCCATACTGAGAATTGAACTTGGAGGCACTGAACCACTGAGCCACATCCCCAGCCCTATTTTGTATTTTTTATTTAGAGACAGGGTCTTACTGAGTTACTTAGTGCCTCTGTGTTACTGAGGCTGGCTTTGAACTCGTGATCCTCCTGCCTCAGCCTCCAAAGCCACTGGGATTACAGGCATACGCCACCGTGTCCGTTGTGCCTTAAGCTTTTGGGAGTCACAGTTTTCGTGTTTCTAAGGTGGGATAAAAAAAAGCACCTATATAAAATTTCTTATAATTGTGAGACCGAGAAAGTTCCCAGGCTGTAAAGTACCCAGAATGCTACGTGGCGCATGCTGAAGTCCTCACTGATAATTTTATTCTCTGGTATTTGATTCCTGAGTCCACTGTGGTGCCACTGATGTAACAGAGACAAAGGATGTTTACGAACCCAGGCACAAGTTAAGCATCCATAATCCAAAAACACAAAATTTGACATGCTGTAAAATTGAAAACTTTTTGAGAGTCAACGTGATGCTCAAAAAGTTTTAGGCTTTGGAGCAGATTAGATTTTGGATTTTGGGGTTAGGGATGCTCAACCATATAAAGGCTGAAAATATTCCCATATCCAAAAAATCTCCAAAATCTGAAACTCTTTTGGTCCCAAGCATTTTTGACAAGAAATACTGAACCTGTATTAAACAATTTTGACCCTCTGAATCACAGTCAGATTGAAGGACTCTCAACTTGTTCATACTGCCATGGCTATCGCATTTAGCTTTTGTTGCATAGCAAACCACCCCAGAACTTGTTGGCTTAAAACAACATTTGGTTTTGCCCACATGTCTCTGGGTCAGATGAGTGATTCTGCTGGTGCTGGGTGGGCTCAGCAGATTTAATTTTAGATTGAAGAATCTAAAATTGGGGCTGGGGATGTGGCTCAAGTGGTAGAGCACTGGCTTGGCATGCGCGAGGCACTGGGTTCGATCCTCAGCACCACAAAAAATAAATAAAGATATTGTGTCCACTTAAAACAAACAAACAAAATATTTTAAAAAAGTAAAAAAAAAAAAAAGAAGATGGGCTGGGGCTGTGGCTCAGTGGTAGAGCGCCTGCCTTGCATGTGTGAGGCCCTGGGTTCAATCCTCAGCACCACATAAAAATAAATAAAGATACTGTGTGTTTATCTACAACTAATAAAAATATTTAAAAAAAAGAATCTAAAATCCAAAATGCTCCAAAATCCAAAACTGAGCATCATATTAATTGTAGAGTGTTTTGGATTTTGGGTTATGGATGTTCAACCTGTACCTTGGTTTAGTAAGCATCCTTTGCCTATCTCATACCAGTGGCACCACAGTGGCCTCAGATATCAAATACAGGAGAATGAAACAATCATGAAAGTGCCTGAAATTAGCTGGCAGGGCTGATGGGGCTGGCTGGTGGTTACCTAGCTAGGTGACAGGGGTGACTGGGCCAGTGTTCCTTATTCCTCAGGAGGATTGCCCAGGACTGGTCACTTGGCAGGATTCCTGGAGGAGGAGCAGGAGCCCAGGCCTAAGCTCAGAGCTGATACAATATGCCTTTCTGCTGCATTTGATGAGCCACAGGAAGTCCCCTGCTTTATTCATGTCTTGATATGGGGGGTGGGGTTTAGCCAGCACATGAAATGCTTAGAGGCTGTAGCAGATGCAGTAAGAGATGGGAGTTGGGCATGGCCCACCTGCAAATGGTGACCAAATACCTTTTGGGGAAGAGAGCTATGAAGCTGGGACTTAACGGACAGCAGGACCGTGGCTCCTGGCCGAGGAACAGTATGTGGGAGGATGGGCCTGTCCTGGGAATGAAGTGATGCCTCAGTGAGCAAAGGGCAGGAGGCAGCAGGACCCAGACTGCGCAGGGTGTTGGGTGGCATTTGAATTTTAGTCTAAGTGCAAGGGGGGAGTCATTGCAGGGAGTTAGAGTAGTTTTTTTGTACCAGGGATGGGACCCAGGACCTCCTGCATGTTAGGCAAGCACTCTACCACTGAGCTACATTTCCAGTTCAGGTTTTTGTTTGTTTGCTTGTTTTTGGTATTGGGGCACTGAACCACTGAGCCACATCCCAGCTTTTAAAAAGTATTTTATTTAGAGACAGGGTCTTGGTAAGTCGCTTAGGGACTTGCTAAGTTGCTGAGGCTGGCTTTGAACTCAAAACCTCCTGCCTCAGCCTCCCAAGCTGCTGAGATTACAAGTTATACCACCATGCTCTCTTGGTTTCTATTTTGTGATGACTTTTGCTCCTGTATAGAAAAGAGGTTTCCTGGTGTGTAAGAATGGACACAGGAGGGCTGGGGTGGTAGCTCAGTAGTAGAGTGCTTTCCTAGCACTTGCAAAGTGCTGGGTCCAATCCTCAGCACCACATAAAATAAAATAAATAAATGAAATAAAGGTATTGTATCCAACTACAACTGAAAAAAAAAAGGTTAAAAAAAAAGAATGGACACCAGGAGACCAGTTATGTGGCTCTCCTACTCTCATGTGCAATCCACAAGGCCCAGGGTGGGGGCGTAGGAAGGGGTGTGATAGGAGGTGCTTCTTGGTGCCTGAGTGGTATCCTGGGGAATCCTACAGTAATCCTGCTGAAGTCTAACTTCCATAGCACAGGGAGTCAACTCTGCTTCTGGCAATGCCTTCTCAGAATTCCACTGTCTTAGTTTGCTAGAGCTGCTGTAACAATGTGCCACAGGCTGGAAGGCTTAAAGAGAAGATACTTTTTTTTCTGACAGTTCTGGAGCTAGAAGTCCAAGGTCAAGGTGTCAGTAGGGTTGATTTCTCCTGAGACTCTCTCTTTGGCTTGCAGATGGCCACCAGCTCCCTGTCTCCTTCACATGGTCTTCTGCATATGTGTTATCGTCTCCCCTTCTTATAAGGACACTACATTTTTGGATTGAGGCCCACCCTAATTACCTCATTTTATTCTTAGTTCTTTAAAGAAACTCTATGCAAATATAGTCACATTCTGAGGTATTAAGAATTGGACTTCAACATACAGGTTTTGGGAATAAAATTCAGCTCAAACAGTTACTGTGTTTTCCTTATTCACATAACAAAATATAGTTTAGAAGATAACTTGATACTTTTTAAAAGTATGTACTATTGTCAAAATATATAATTCAATAAAGGAGCAAAATTGTCAGCCTTCTGAACAGAGTGGGTGTCCACGGCAGAGGGTATCTAGGTACAGCCTGCCATGTATTAATTGGGTTTGTGGGAAATATTTGTGTGCTTCTTATCATCAGGCTGCATTCCTTCACTGTATCTTATTGAAAGACTGTACCGACTACCTTCTGTCAAACTCCATTACCAAAAGGATGACTGCCTAGTCTATATCCGTACTCTCACTCTATTACTGACCTGTTCATTTGCAAAACAGACTCAGTCTTTGGTTTCAATCTGTCATCTTACCTCCTTGGTCCTATAACTGATATGCACATTCAAATGGCTTTATGAAAACCAGCCCCATGCTATATGGGTCAGTAGTTGATTTATCAAGGAAAAACCTAGCTGTTGGCACTGATGAAGAAATGATGTTAAATGCTAGGCCTTTGGGCATCTTAACTCTTTTGTTGAAAAAAACCCATAGGGATCAAACTCTTTACTGACATGTATTCCCTGCAGTCAGAGTGCTGAACAACCTGGCCAAGTCAGCATCTGAGGAGTACCTAAAAGAAAACCACGTGTTGGAATACGCCACTGAGGTTTCCAAGCTGGTGGACAACATCCCCCATGATCAAGCTACCATGAAATACACCGAAGGTGTCCTCATGTAAACAGGCATTTCAGTTTTTGTTTTGTTTTGTTTTCTGGATTAGTGTTCAATCTTATGATTAATGTACTTAACCCACACCTATGAATCCATTTCCCACCTCACTGATTTGGCTAAGAAATGCTGACTTTTAGCATTTGCATTCTTGAGCTTAAAATGGTTTTCAACCAGGGAATTATTTGGGCCCTACCCCTTTCGCTAGTGACACTCGTGGTAATGTCTAGAGACATTTCTGGTTGTCATGACTGTGGGGGAGGGGTTGTTGGCATCTAGTGGGTAGAGGCCAGGTTGCTGCTAACCATCCAGTGCCCAGGACAGCCCCCAACCAGGGATTATCCAGCCCAAATGTCAGCAGTGCTGAATTTGAAAATAGTTTCTTTTTTCTTAAATTTTTAAAATTTGTTTTAATTAGCTGTTCATAACAATAGAATGCACTTTGATACATCATATATAATGGAGTATAATTTCTCATTCTTCTGGTTATACATGATATAGAATCCCACTGGTCATAGTTATATATGTACTTAAGGTAATAATGTCTGTTTCTTTCTACTATCTTCCTACCCCCACACCCCCTCCCCTCCCTTCACTCCCCCTACCTAACCTAAAGTAACCCTATTTTCCCTGCGCCCCCCTCCACTGTGAATTAGCGTACGTATCAGAGAAAAACGTTCTGCCTATGGTTTTTTGGGATTGGTTTATTTTGCTTTGCATGATATTCTCCAGCTCCATCCATTTACCAACAAATGCCATAATTTCATTCTTCTTTAAGGCTGAGTAACACACACACACACACGAAAATAGTTTATAAAGATATTGCTGGGATGTAGCTCAGTGGTATAGTACTTGCCCAGCATGCACAAGGCCCTGGGTTCGGTCCCTAACACGCACATACAATGTTCTTATAAATGATGTTGCCATTCCTGAACCTCTATTATTATGAAGTGGTCTTTTTGTTTTTTTTTTTGTATTTTCTAGGATTGGTTTTTGTATAAAATAAAGGATATCTATGAGAAATATTTTTGATAGTGCAATGAATATAGCCAACATTTATCATGCTTAGTAAGTCCCACGCATGTATTTTATTTTCAGGTTGGTTGATGGAAACACTTATCTTGCAAAAATGAAGTTTCAAGAGTGCTTAAGAATCAGGAGAAGTTTGTTTGAGAGAAAAACATGCTAGTTGGAGAAATTATGGAAATTTTAGCAGATTTACTGTTTTTTTTACTAACAGATAATGAAAAGTAAGTTTTTATGAAATATTTCGAGAAATGTGTCTCCTGCCTACCCCCACCAAAAAAAAAAAAAAAAAATCCACCAGTGTCGGGGGTTGGGGGGGGTCTGGGGTTGCCCATCGGGTGTCTCACTCCTTCGTCTCTGGTCCTGGGCTTCACTCTGCTGAGCCTTCTGTTCTGCTCAGTCAGGACACTGATCATCAGGTATTCAAAGGGAGGTTTGGGCCCAGAAGTGGCATAGAGGTTTTGGTGTAGGGAAGGGACAGAGGAATTTGATGTTGTCGTTGAGTGGTTCCCGACATCACTTGCAGGCCTGGGAGGGAGCTGTCCTTACCTCAGGGTCTCTGCGCGGGCCTCAGCCATGGCCACTGTGTGTGGGCTCTCACTGGCCCGTGACTTCTTAAGGCCAAGGCCAGAGCTTGTGGTGTCTCAGGCCATGCTCACTGTGGCTCCTTCTCTCTTGGGAAGCCCTCTTGTGTTTTTGTGAGGTGGCACTTTCCTTAGCTCCCCGCATATCTCAGTTTAAAAGAGGGTGGTGGGGATTACCCTCCAGCTGTAATTAGTGTCCACATCGGCCAGGTCCAAGGGCTTCTCCCAACAGCTTGGTGTGAAGAAGGTTCTTTTTGAAGCCACAGGGAGCCGGGCTCGGGCTTCACTCCGCCCAGCACTGCCCTTCCACGGTATATGCAGCTGACGGAAAGGGCAGGGGCTGGAGGCTAAATGGTGGCATTGCTAAGCTTTGTTTTGGGGTGCTTCCTTTCTGTTGCCTGGCTTGCTTTCCCATATCAGTTTTCCACATTCCCTGAGGTCGTTTTCCTCTTACTCTTCACCAACAGGTGACTTTTCTTGGTTTTGCTCCCAGGAAGAATGTGACATTGGTAATCCCTAACACTTGAGTGTAAGTCAGCCCTGACCCTTTCTAAAGAGTGGCCCAAGAAGGGAGGCTCAGAGGGGAAAGTAGCAGAGGCCACGTAGCAGTGGGAGGTGGTGGGACTGGGCCTGTCGGCGGGGTTCAAATTTTGTTTCTGCCACTTAGTAACAGTGAGAAACTAGACAGGAACATCTTGGTGTCTCATCCACTTCCTTGTTAGTAAAATGACTAGTAACCGAATCTTCCCAGGATCATTGAGGATTAGGAGATCCCATGTGAAAAGAGCTGTCAGAATTCCTGGCACATACTAAAAAAGTTCAATACCCTGAGTGATTAGTATGATTATTTTGCTCCCCAGTGGGTGATTGGCTGGAGCATTTGGCACCACCTGACCACCTCTTATTCATCATCACACCAGCACTGTGAGCAGAGACTGGACTTTCTTTAGAGAAGCACAGAGCTTGCTACAGAGACATTGCCTTGTAAAAGAAAAATCTAAACACACAGAATGCTGGCTGGGTCCTCTTCTGCCCAGGAGACCCCCCACAGATCCAGAGCTGGTGGGGCATGAGCCATGAGACGTTTAATCCTGTTGGACCATGCCCCAGGGGTGGCCTGCATGCGGGGGACCTGACCGGACGTGGATGCCTTCTTCCTGGGCCTTACTATTAGTGGCCCACCTTCCCAAACAATGGAGAAATCTTTTCCCTTGTTTAAGTTGTCCTCAGGTGACTACTATGGTTAAGAGTCAGAGACATTTTGCTGTGTGACCTTAATCATCTCTCAAACAAGTGTAGATCCTTTGCCCTGGTGACCAGAGGCCCTTGAGACACCTCTGATGTTCTAGGAAACGATTCAGGGGATGCTCAGGGCTTTGTAGATTGGTGGTGGTGGGGAACAGGCAGATGAGGTCAACCTGAAAAGTCAAAAAATTTATTAAGAAAACACAACAGAGAAGAAGGAACAGAGTGTCTTCAGAGGAACAGTGAACAGAGACCGTGGTGGAATAACTACCAGCTCTTTCTCTGCTGTTCAGCCGTTTGTCAGCAGCTACTTCCCGCTGGTGAGCACTGGGTGCGTTGCTTCCTCACTTCCCAGTCACCGTCCTTGGTCATGCAGCCCCACCCCACACCCTTTGCGTACTAGTCCACGCTTATAAAAATCATCGCAAACCGAGTGCCCCTGGGCTTTTCATCTGGTTGTTCTTCTCTTTTGGTTTTCAGCTTTTCACCTGGGCCTAATTTAGAGAAGGAAAAGTTGATTTCGGCTCAGAGGTTTAGTCCATGCTTGAGGTTTAGTCCCTCTCTCTGGGCCCAGCGTGAGGCAGGACATCCTGGCGGGAGGGTGAGGGGAGGAGGGCTGCTGTATTCATGGCAGCCAGAAAGCAGAGAGGGAGGGGCAGCGGCCACAGGGAAGATTCTAACCTGTCCAGGGCCTGCCCCCAGTGACCCAGCTCCTCCTGCAGGTACTACCCAGTCGGTCCACTCAAACTAGGTTAATTGGGCTGTTGGGTTAGAGCTCTCAGAACCTGATCATTTTACCTCTGAAGGTTTCTACCTTAACACAGGGGGACACCTCATATTCAAATCATCAGTGTCTGCCCTTTCCCTTCCTGCAGCTCTCCTCTCGTGGCTTCTCGGCGCCCTCCCTCATGGCCATCCTTTCTCTGATGGTGCTTCTCTGCCGTGTTCGGGGTTCCGCCTTCTCTCCCTTCCTCTTGTGCCAATGTCAGCCTTCTCTTGAGCTCGGTTCTGAGGCTCTGTGCTTATTCAGTCTCAGCACCTTGACCTCACACATGCCGAGGGCTTCAGCATCACTCCATAAGGGGATGGCTTGTTGTCACCACCTCTCAGATCTTTGTCATTGGTGACAGAGGGGCCTTCATCTGTAGATTGGATCTCTCCAGTGGAGTATTCCCTGGGCACTCAGGACTGGACATGTCCCCCTTGCTCCCTGTTCCTCCTGTCTGTGCAAACACAGTGGCATCATCTTAATGCTGTTTTAATTGGTCACCAGGCTAAACACTTTTGTCACGACCATTGCGGCCAATCCAGCAGGTTCCGGCAAGGAGCGGAGGGGGATAAAACAGATAAAGACTCACGGACTCAGATTTGAAGATAAAGCTGGGGTCAGGTGGAGGGCTGCTCTCTGATGGAGAAGCAGGTCTAAAGAATTCACCAGCAATCTTTATTTATATACACGTCTCATTAATCAGATTAAAGACTATGTAAAAATTATTCTTTGTGTTCATGAAAGTTCCAGAGTTAGCAACATGATACCGCTTTATAGAGCTCTCAAGAAAGTCCATTTACTGTTATGTGGGCAGGTCCAGGAGCAGCAGAGCTGGTGAAACACTGTGGTTGTCTAGCAAGAAAGTTCCTATAGGGCTGGGGATATAGCTCAGTCCGTAAAGTGTTTGCTCTGCATGCACACCGCCCTGGGTTCAATAGGAAGGAAGGGAGGGAGGGAGGGAGGGAGGAATTTCCTTTATTTCCAGGGGCTGTGTGTGCCTGAGATCAAGGTCAAGAGCTTCCTCATGAAGGGCATTACCACAGCAGCTAGGCATCCTGCACCTTTACCCAGAAACTTTCCCAAGCACCAAACATGCCACAGCCATGAGGTCATCAGAGACCCCCATCTCAGGCACTGCTCTCCACATACTTTACCTACATTTTCCCTTTTAATCCTCACAACAACTCTTATCTCATTTTGAGCATGGGAAGGCCGAGGCTTAGGAGGGCAAGATATTTGCCCAACTTTTAAGGAGTGGAGCCACCATTAGCCCCTGATAGGTCTCAGTGAAGAGCCTCTGGGCCTGGACCCTGGGGCCCATCACCACATCTGAATGATGTCAAAGCTTGAACCCTGGTCACTCTGCAGCAGTATAGAGGCCCCAACAGCCCAGCATCAGCACCACCAGGTCCAAGGCAAGTCCAAGACTTTTGCTTAATAAGTGTCCTTTCATATCCATGGCCTCTGTGGGAGCTCAGACCTTCAGGGTCCTTCCTCTGGACTAACTGGTCTCATGGCCATTAATCTCACCTGCTTCAGTTTAGCCTCCACACTTTTACCCAGGTGAATTTTCTGAAATGTAATTTTTTTTTTTAAACCAGGAATGCACGGGGTACTTAACCACTCAGCCACATCCCCAATCCTTTTTATTTTTTATTTTGAGACAGTCTTCCTAAGTTGCTTGGGGCCTTGCTCGGTTGCTGAGGCTGGCCTCTAATGTTGGATCCTCTTGCCTCAGCCTCCTGAGCTGCTGGGATTACAGGTGTTCACCACCATGCAGGTCCTACAATGTAAATTTCATCTTCTCCTCTTAATGAAAACCCTTCCATGTAAGTGTCAAAGCCTTAAGTTTGCACTAGAAGAGTCTTTCATGAGTGGACCCCTGCTTCACTCTCCAGACTCCCCTGCTACCTAGGGCATCTCCAAAGGCAAGGGTTAGCCTTCCAGGAGCAGCACCCGGGGAACGCTGAATGGGGTGTGAACAGACGCCATGTTTCTTCAGTGTAAACCTTTAATTCAATTTATGTTTTCTAGACTCCAAAGGAAGCAAGTAATTGAATATTATAAACAAGTGATAAAAATAAAGGAAAATGCAGACGCTTTGGCCAACTCCTCACTTGTCAGGAAGCAGCTAAGCATCAGCCTCAGTGATACCTTGTGTAAATTAGGTAATTGCTCTAATCTAGTTCTTGTATAAGCAGACGAATTTCCTCTCTATTCCATCTGCATACTTGGCTTGTTTTAAAAATGTCTTGCTGGGTGTGGTGACACGCGTCTGTAACCCAGCACCTCATGAGGCTAAGGCAGGGACATTGCAAGTTCAAGGCCAGTCTGGGCAATTTAATTCAACATAAAAAGTTAAAATAAAAAGGGCTGAGGCTGTAGCTCAGTGGTGGAGTGCCCCTGGGTTAATCCCCAGGGCTGAAATGATGATGATGACACATAACAATGTCCTCATTTTTGAAGCAACTCCTGTTCCTTATGCTTTCAACTTCTTCCTATAATCCCCGTGGCTCAGGAGGCCGAGGCAGGAGGATTGTGAGTTCAAAGCCAGCCTCAGCAAAAGTGAGGTGCTAAACAGCTGAGTGAAACCCTATCTCTAAATATAATACTGGGATGAGACTGGGGTTGTAGCTCAGTGGTAGAGCGCTTGCCTTGCACGCGTGAGACCCTGGGTTTAATCCTCAGCACCACATAAAAATAAACAAATAAAAATAAAGTTATTTTAAAAAAAGGGCTGGAATGTGGCTCAGTGGTTGAGCACCCCTGGAAAAAAGAGTTGTTTCCATACCATTTCTCATTCTTTCATAGACTGAGCATTATGCTGGAACACACCCCTCTTCTATCAATTTAAAAAATGGCTTTTCACAGAGGCCTCACCCTCAATTTTAGATGTAGGACTTACGTCTAATCATACCTGGCCCAGTGGCTTGAAGTAACTTTCTGGTTAAAGATAAAAATTAAGGGCTGGGGATGTGGCTCAAGTGGTAGTGTGCTCCCCTAGCATGCATGAGGCACTGGGTTCGATTCTCAGCACCACATTAAAAAAACAAAAATAAAGATGTTGTGTCCACCTAAAACTAAAAAATAAATATTAAAAAAAGATAAAAACTTAAAATGAGACCTGGGTGTAGCTCATTGGTAGAGCACCTGCCTAGCTTGTGGGAGGCCCTGGATTCTATCTCCAGTAACACAAAATCAAATCAAAAACCTAAAATGAAATCAAAGTTCAAAATTTTGGATTTCAGTCTTACTGTTAGGAGTAATAGAAGAAGGGGCACTTCCCTGCTAACCTCAACGTTCACTGGAGTAAGCTGACACAGGGAGAGGAAATAGGAAAAACAAAAAAGATTCATAAACTTCTTAACATGGGAAAGGGAGTGTGTCATAGGAGTGTGCATGACCCTCTTGTTCAACACAGTTCAGAAACTTAACTACTCTCTTTCCTCTAGGGGGAGGGCAGGATGGTGCAAATTTTAGGAGAACAGTCAATTATTTTTTGTGATACTCGGTGGGCTTGGAGAACACAGTGACCTGGGGCAGAGACCACTGGGCCCAGAGAACAGACAATGGATTATGCTGTTTCTCAATGGGACAGAAAAAGAGGACAATGGTGTGGGATCCAATCCTGTCAGGTGCGTCGGCGGCCGACTTCAGTCTTCCTTCCTGGGATGTGAGTAGTTAAGAGAAGCTCTTAGGCCAGAGGTAATCTGTGTCTTCTTTGGCCAGTCAGGACTTTAAGCAGATAAGGGGACTTCGCAGAAAGCCTGGCCTTGTGTTTGGGGGTTGTGAGGGAGAAGCAGGACAAGGCCCGAGGGACCTTGACAGCCTGCTTCCTCAGTGGTCCCAGCTGAGGGAAGCGGAGCTTGTTTCCATGTTAGGGCAGCCTTTGAGCATTGCTGTGGAGGGACCCCGAGAGGGGGAGCCTTCCTTCTAGGACACTGCCAGGCATTGGAGTGCCAGACCTCACCTTCAGCTGCCTTGGTTCCTATTTGGCCCTGTAGCCTGTGAGCTTGTTTTGCAAATAGTGACCATTCTGTGGCTTCTGTCATTTTGCCTGGAGTGTTGCTGTCAACCTGGGGAATGGGGAGAGTGGAGAGTTGACGGGAGACGGCCAACAGTGCCAGGACAGGAGCTGAGACAGCCTCACCCAGCTGGAGGTGGGTGGGCAGCCAGGAGGTGGTCAGGGCAGAGGCCCACAGGCAGAGCTTTTCATCCTGTCCTTGACTGAGTGGGTTACTGTGTGTCCAACAGAGGCCTCTGTTGGACATGGGCAGCTGGGCAGGGTGGCGCCCTGGCTTGCTGGTTGCTAACCTTGGGTAGCTTCCCTTATTTCAATATGCTCCCCAGGGAATCTCATTTTATGTAAATGCCACAGCTAGAAATATTTTGAGACATTGTCAGGGGTCCTGATGTCTGGTTGCCACTGGGCACAATTTATATTTTAACCTGAACAAGCAATTTTCAAATTTTGCCCCCAGTACAAAAGTCTAGAGAAACTTCATTTTTGCAGTGGGGTGGGGGACGGGAGTGCTACTGTCATGCAGAGGGCGGAGGCCTGGGAGGCCTCTGAACATTTTCCAGTGCCCCGGGCACCCCCACCACAAAATAGAACTAGTCCTAAGTGTCAGCAGTGCCCGGCTGAAAAACCTAATCTAAACCAGCCACTTCCTCCAGCCTGTGTGCTCATCGTTTGTTTTGGTTTCACCCGAGTCACTTACTGAAGAGGAAAAAGGACTAAAATACCTGCTATCTGCAGTGAAAGAATATTTTCAGTGCCTAGATTTAGGAATGCGTGAGCATGCATGGACACGCACAAACTGTTCTTCCAAAAGGTTTCCAGGCTGAGCGCGTGAGCATTTTATTTACAAACAGAAAATGTAGATGCAAAAATAGAGAAAATTTATGGAAAAAGACCTAGTTTATTCTGGTTGCTTCATATACTGTTACATAACAGTTTTGGTTTCTAGTCTATGATGGAAGATGGAAGTAGAACACTGTTCACTTACTTTCAGAGAAGATAACATCTGTAATAGTAGCAATTGCAGTGATTCTATGACTTCTTAAGTCTTTAGAAAAAGTTTCAAATTTACCAGGTGCAGTGGTGCATGCCTGTAATCCCAGGAACTTCAGAGGCTACAGAAGGAGGATTGCAAATTTGAGGCCAGCAAGGGCAATTTAGCAAGACTCTGTCTCAAAAATAAGAAAGTAAAAAAAAAAAAGGTGGAGAATGTAGCTCAGAGGTAGAGCACCCTTGGGTTCAGTCCCCAGTATCACCAAGGGGAAAAACAAATTCAGATTTGTGGTCAGTTTTCAACAGGGCTATTTATTTATTTAATGATGCTGGGGATTGAACCCAGGGCCTCACACATGCTAAAGTGCTCTATCACTGAGCTCCATTCCCCAGTTCCAATCAAGTATTTTTCTGTAAGGAGTCATTTCTTGCTACCATTTGGCAGTGGTGGTATTCCTTTCTTGCTGCCTTGTCTCCTACTGTTGAAGTTGATTGGTTTGATGTAAGATGCACTCTGACTCGCAGGAACACTGTAAATGATTAAGACCATTAGTGGGAGGGTCTTGTGCTTTTGCTTTATGTAGTGATGATAAGGTCAGACTAGTATCTTCAGTGCATGATGACACCAGTGTTGGGAGGGAAAGTGGACTGTTTGAATCAGTTGTCCTTCAATATATGAGAACTTTTTCTTCTTCTTTTTTTGGTACTAGGGATTGAACCCACTAAATCCCCATCCTTTTTATTTTTGAGTAAGAGTCTCACCAAGTTGGTTAGGCTGGCCTTGAACTTTTGATCCTCTTGTCTCAGCCTCCTGACTTGCTGGGAACTCGGGTGTGCACCATATGCCCAGATATAACAGGTATTTTTAACTTTCCTGCCTTTTATGGAAATTTCCTATCTAAATGGAAATGGGCCTGAGTGAACTCCATAAAAGAAGAAATAAGCCAGAACCTCCTGTGGTTGGGCCTCCTGATCATCCATCATTTTAAAAGAAGTTCTGTAGACCCTGGTAAAACTGTTCCTGAACATGATTCATCAGAGCAGTTCTCTTTGAAGTCAAGGGCTGTGCTAACGGGGGAGGGGAAGGACTGGGGGCAGGGGATTACAGTCTGAATCCTGCAAACCTTTATTTATACCTTTATTTTATACACTGTAATGCATGACAGAATTATAAGGTTCTATTATTTTACCTGACTAGTTTGTAGATTGGGGTACTTTGGGAGAATGATTCACCCCATAAAGAAAAAAAAAAAAACACCTCTAAACCCCCGCCTTCTTCCTTGAAGCACAGAGGGGAGCTGCCCCTGTGGATGTGGAGGGCGGCTCCATTGCTAATCAGTGTTTGCATCCAAGTTGGTGACTTTGGATGTGGGAGGGAGGGCTCAGGTACAAAAGTGCTGTTTGTTTCATTTGTCACCTTTGTTATCTTGTCACCCTTGTGGGGCAGATCATCCTTGGGTGCTCTGCAGGGCATCTACCTGTCACTTTTGAAGTGTTTCCTGGGTCCCCCACAGTGACGTTTATGAATGTCATGTGGCCTATATTTCAATTCCAGTTATCTCAAACATATCCTTTAAATTTGGTGAAAGTCTGTTGTCTTTTTTGGATGCAGTGACAGATGGAAAGCTAGGCTCCCCACTCAGGGTCTGTACCAAGTGTTCTGCAGGAGAACTCCTGCCTTCGAGCAGTTTATCGTTTTGTTATGAGGTGAGACAAACGTATTACAAAAAATAAAGCACACTAAGGACTTAAAGCAATGTTTGGTTGGAGAGGTCAGAAGTGGGTTTTGGAGCCAGGTGCAGTGGCTTGCCTGTAATCCCATGGATTCAGGAGGCTGAGGCAGGAGGATTGCAAGTTCAAGACCAACCTCAGCAACTTAGCAAGGTCCTAAGGACTTAGCAAGACCCTGACTCAAAATAAAACATTAAAAAAGCGTTGGGGATATGAGTCCGTGGTTACGTGGCTCTGGGTTCAATCTCTGGTACCAGAAAAGAAAAAAAAAATCAGAAGTGGGTTTTGATTTTAGATTGGCCATAAATAGTTGTGTGAACCTCTGGCAAGTTCCAACCTTTCTGGCCCAGGGTCGCCAGTCTCTGGGTCTCAATCTGTAAAATGAGGTATTGAGTTATTTAAGTAACTCAATCTCCATCAGAG